TAATTTATTTTTATATTCTCCATTTACTTAAGTTTACAATGTAAATAAGGAAGTACCCCCTATTTGGATTCAAATAAAAATACTAGAAAATCAAATTCCCACCAAATCAAAATATGAAAAATCGGTTTTAGTGTAAAATACGATTTAGGCTAAAAATGATGGCTCATTAAGTCAATATATACTTCATACTAAAATCCCATAAAATCAAGTTTTCTTATTTGATGTGTAAGGAATAAAAGCAGCAAAAAATTATCTTGAGAAAATAATTATTCCGAAAAACCATTTTTCATACTTAGTCAATATTTTTCATGTATGATATGAATGCATGAAGGGGCCTAAGGTTGTTTTTAATTTGGGAAATTTTGATTTTTTTTTCTTATTTCTATTGGGTTTAATGAGGGAAAAAGCTTTAAAGATATTTGCTAAATCGCTACTCACTGTCTATCTCTTGCAATTTTTCTTGCTTAGAATGTATTTGTCTATCCCTTTGTTGAGAACAATTATGATTGCAACCAATAAGCAATATAATTCTTGACATATGTGATATATATATATACACACACACACTATTTTTTGTATGTATTGTGAGTTCGAATTTTTTATTTTTTATAATTTATAAGAGACCCCCACACACATGAAATTCTAGCTTCACCACTGGTTGCACACAAAAGACCCATAAATCTGCCACCAAGACCATAAGTTCCCTAAACCACAAAGCCATATCAACTTAATGACATCCACCCTTGAATCACCAACTCCACTAAGCTTGAACCCGCTTATGCCCCATAGAGAATGCATCAACTAATCAAAGCAAGACCAATGTAAATGAAAACCTGAAGCCCAAAGAATCAAGAGAGTGAAAGGCGGTGGTGCAAGCACTAGAGCAAGAGCTTTATACACCTTCCGATGGGGACACGAGAGATTGCGTTTTGGATTAGCTTCTACAACCCGCAGGAGAGGCTAGATCGAATCCAGGGGGTAGATGGAAGATGCTTGGACAAAATTGGATTTGGAGAGAGGTTGATGGAGAATTGGGGACACATAATTAAAATAAGACATATAGTCTCAGATCCACCCACAAGAGTGGAAAAAAATCACCAAAGAAAGCAAAGAGAGAGGAAATGGTGAGAATGGTGGAGGATGTTGAGAATGGTAGAGGGAAGAGAGAGGAGAGAAGAGGAGAGAGGAGAGGATAATAGAGAGGAAATGAGAGGGGAGGAGAGGCAGTGACCTCCTCCTCCTTCTTGTTGAGAAAGGGGCGGTTGGGTTTTCTAGGGTTAGGAGAGAGAGAGAGAGAGAGAGAGAGAGAGTGTGTGTGTGTGTGTGTGTGTGTGTGTGTGTGTGTGTGTGTGTGTGTGTGTGTGTGTGTGTGGTGTGTGTGTGTGTGTGTGTGTGTGTGTGTGTGTGTGTGTGTGTGTGTGTGTGTGTGTGTGTGTGGCTCAGGCCTTTGGTGTGCTCTCAAGTGGTCGTGTGTGTAAATTTCCCCCTCCTTCTAACCTTCTAAATAATAATAATAATAAGAATGAAGAAATTCGAGACATTAGCTTACTAAATAATTTGACAATATAACATACTACAATACTATTCTAAGAAATCATAAGAAACAAGAATAGGCCAAAAATAATGGCTCGGATTCCATATAACTCAAGTAAGGCAGAATTTGTAAGGGCCCGTTTGATAACCATTTCAATTTCAATTTTTTGTGCTAGAGTATAGAGGAAAATGAGAGTGAGAATAAGAGTGAAGATGAGATCGAGAGAGATGATAAGAGGGGAAGGTGGGAGAGATGAGTAACAAAAATGAAAACAAAAACTTGAAAGTGAAAACAATTTCAAATAGATTTCAGTTTTTAGTTTTTGTTTTAAATTTTGTAGTGCTGATTTCCGGACGAATCAGAATCAGGGGATTCCAATTCCAAAACAAAAAATTTCAAAATTTCAATATCCATTCCAATTCGGAAAACTTGGACTTTTCGGAATTTCAAAAAATTCGAATCTTATATATTTCGGAAACTAGTTCAAAATTTTTAACATGCCAAACCATTTGAATGGTTAAAATTTAAAACTCATATTGAACACTTGAAAAACTATTATATTCTAGTACTTGGATGTTGTTATCCTTTATGGAATAACTTGTCTATGTCTATTTTGGTCATTAAATTATATTTAGTTTAAATTATAACTTGTCTATGTCTATTTATGGAATAACTTGTCTAAGCTTAAAACTCCAATATATTTCAGAATTCGAAACTTTTCAAAATCTCAAGATACATTCCAATTCCAATACAACTTTTTTCAAAATTTGGAATTTTTGGATGTTGGAATTTATTGGACTTGCAAAAATTGGAAATTTTCGGATCGGAATTGGTCAAAATCGGATTTTCCAATCCAATATGCATCCCTACTTTTGTTACTCCTCCCTCACATCCTCCCCTCTCATCTTTCGTGTCAATCCTATCTCCACCCTCATTCTCACTTCCGTTCTCCTTCCTTTTCCTTTATACTCAAGTACAAAAAATAAAAAATAAAAACTAAAAACTAAAATTGAAATAGTTATCATACGAGCCCTTAGAAATTCCGCCTTACACTATATGGAATTTGAGCCATTATTTTTGTGTTCTTGTTTCTTATGAGCATCATTATTAGAACAGTATTCTAGTATGTTATATTGTCAAATTATTTTGTTAGCGAATCTCTTGAATTTCTTTAAATATAGCCAGTAAGGCAGACTTTCTAAGTAGGTAGGTCAATTTTTAAAACATAAATTTGTCCATTATGTTGAACCCATTCTCGTAAAGGCTTTGTTCGTTTCCTAAGTCAGTGTGATTAATAGGAACATATTCCCACTTCCCATATATTTTGGAAAATGTCAATCATTAGAGCATCCACAATTTTTTTGGGGGAGGGGGGGTGTAAAGCCACTTTTATATCCCCTTTACACCTCCGGGGGTGTAAATATGTTTTTTGCTCCAATGGGAAAAAATGTAAATCTAAGATATATAATTGTTTTGTTTGTCTTAATTCGTTTTTGTGTTAAATTTGTATTTTGTGTTTACTTTATATATATATATATTTTGTATTAGGTTAATTTTATTTTTTCAAACAAATAGACCTAAAAATATTTAAATTCGGAGAAGCTGCAGATTCTTCATTAAAAAAAAAGCTGCTGCCTAGCCTAATTCTTCATAAAATAAAAAATAAAAATAAAAAACTGTTGCCTGATTCTTCATAAAAAATAAAAATAAAAAAAGCTGATGGCTGTTGCAAATTCAATTGGCTGTTGCAAACTACATGTTGGGTGGAGCCGTGGGTCCTAGCCTTTTATGCTGACTTTTCTTCATTTTTCTTCTCTTTTCTTGGGTGGATTCCACCTATAAGGGATGTAAAAATAGGTGTAAATATACATCTTATTTTACATCCCCATGGTGGTGATGTAAATTTACATTCATTTACATCTCCTCATTGGAGACGACTCCGGTGACTCGGGGTGTATATTTAACATACACCCCCATATATGCCCCCCATTGTGGATGCTCTTACTGATTAGTGGGCCATGAACACTGAACACACCAAACTCCAGATTAAATTTTGCCTAGGAATATTTACTGAGTTTAATGGATCAAGTGGGAAAAACACAAGACAAGTGCGACAGAGACACAGGGCTAAGGCCCAAATTGAAAGTAGGGCCTTTCAAGAATTAAGGAAAATGGGCTTCCAAATACACCCAAAAACTAATTTAAAATGTACACCAAAAGATTAAATTAATACACCCAGCTTAAATTCCAATTCTACCCTGACTAACTTTAGTACTTCTATTTGACAAAACAACAAAACAACAAAAAAACTTTAATACATGTATAAAAAAATTCAGAAAAAAATGAATCCAAGTCTCTCTTATCTTAAACTTTGGTTGTTAAAGATCGCTTTCTAATGGTGGTCTCTATCTGTTCATGATCAAGATATCTTAATTGTTTTATTTTTGAGTTCCATCACGAAATTACCGTATATATGTCCATCTATTCATGATGAAGAGATCTTTTTAATTGTTTTCTTCTTTTAGGGTAACATTGTTTCAAGATCCATCACAAAATTACTATATATATACAACGAGCTTTTATTGAGATATCTATCAAATAAGCTTATATATATACACGGTAAGTAGGTGTAGTGTTTTGAACAAAACAAATATATGATAATGGTGGTAAACAACTCAGACAATGGGGCTTAGCCAGTGGTTGAGCGGCAACTTTCCTCCCCTGGCACCCAATTATCACCCGAATTCGAGCCACATGAGATGGTATCTTTCAAAAAAAACCCACCCCATGTATATTACTCTCCTCTCCCTTCCCTGCGTTGATCCAAAAAACTAATCAGCAAACAACTTAAAATTAGAGACAGATACTTTTTTGGCCTTTACATATGAAAATATACCCATGACAAAATCATGTACCGACATAATAACACGACACGAAAGAATAATTAATTGTTTGGGTCGAGCATTATTGGTTTGGTAACGGATTGAGACGATTATTAACAAGTTGAGTCCATGTTCATTGGTAAAACCCATATTAACTTGATATTAACAAGTTAGCGAGCTTTATTAATTTATAGTTTCCAAAAAAAAAAAGGGTTGCCTGAATAAGTAACTCAAAGGAACAATTCATACAAAAATCATTCTAAACAAAATTGGACTTCTGACCAGAAAAACAAAACTAGTCTTTCATAACCTTTTTTAATTTTTTTTTGGTACAAACGATAAGTTAAATTAAAGGAGAGGAGAATTTTTCACACTCATAAATAATGTTATAGGGTTTGAACCTGAGACTTTTTATCCGCAAATTAAAACTGTTTTTTCTACTAGTTTAACCACTGCTTCTTAAAAACAGTAAACAAAGGAAAGACTTGAAATTTAGAAATTTTATACATAACAAATGCAGGACAATCATCATCATCAATTCATTTCTCAACTATTTTTTACAGTATTTCCCCCAAAACAGGACCATGCTGACTTCGAGAACTCAAAACACTTCTCTGAACTCAATGTCTCCTAACTGGAAATCCCTCTTCTTCCTCCTCCTTCTACAACTCTTCAAATTATGCTTCAGCAAATCCCAGCCATTCACATCATCATCATCAAATTCAGACCTTCAATTCCCATGCAAGCCACCCCACTACAGCTCCTACCCTTTTTGCAACACCTCCCTCCCAATCACAACCAGAGCTCAGTCCCTAATTTCCCTCCTTACCCTCCGGGAAAAAATCCAACAGCTCTCAAACAATGCCTCTGCAATTCCAAGACTTGGCATCCCACCCTATGAATGGTGGTCTGAGTCACTCCATGGCATAGCCACCAATGGCCCTGGTGTCTCCTTCAATGGCACCATCCCTTCAGCCACAAGCTTCCCACAAGTGATTGTCACTGCAGCTGCTTTCAATAGGACTCTCTGGTCCTTAATTGGGTCTGCCATAGCTGTTGAGGCTAGATCAATGTACAATTTGGGGCAAGCTGGGCTGACATTCTGGGCACCCAATATCAATATCTTCAGGGACCCAAGATGGGGCAGAGGTCAAGAGACCCCTGGGGAGGACCCCATGGTTGCTTCTGCTTATGCAATTGAGTTTGTGAACGGCTTCCAAGGTGGGAATTGGGGAATTAGACATGATGGGTTTGGAGAGAGGAGAGTTTTGGAAGGTCATGATGGTGGGAGTGATGATGGTCTAATGCTCTCTGCTTGTTGCAAGCATTTCACTGCTTATGATTTGGAGTTGTGGGGGAATTTCAGTAGATATAGCTTCAATGCTGTGGTAAGACTATCTTTAACTTTCTGATTGTCATGGAATTTTAGCCAATTTCAATTTCAGTCGGGTTTTACTATGTTTTAGCTTGTGCAAAATCAGTTTTGTCTATATCTGCAAAATTATTCTGGAGGTATCTCTTTCCATTACTGGTGGAAAAATTTAAAGAGATTTTGAAGTGGAGATCAAACAAAAAGAAGATATCCAATTCTCATACCATGGAAACCAGCAGCAACATTGAAGCAAACATTTTGGATAAAAATTTGCAATAAAAGGACCTTCTGGAATTTGGAGTCTAATTAATTTTTGTATACTAGGTTTCAGAACAAGATTTGGAGGATACGTATCAGCCACCTTTTCGTAGTTGTATACAACAAGGTAAAGCTAGCTGCTTAATGTGTTCTTACAATGCAGTAAATGGGGTTCCTGCTTGTGCACAGAAGGATCTCTTGGACAAAGCTCGGAATGAGTGGGGCTTCAAAGGGTAAGAAGTTTCTTCTTGCTCCATATTTGAATAGAAGTTGGAAATAATAGATATTTCAAACAGTATATATATTAACACATCATCCCTTGTGGGTTAACGACAGATATATCACCTCAGACTGCGATGCTGTGGCCACAGTCTATGAGTATCAGCATTACACAAAAAGTTCTGAAGATGCAGTTGCTGATGTTCTTAAAGCAGGTCTTATGATTGTTTCTTCCATTATACTTGTCTGTTGTTTCCTTTTTGCAATGACCATTGACAACAAATATTGGATTATTTTTCTTAAAAAGTTATAATTGAATCAGTTATTTGTAGGGATGGATATTAATTGTGGTACATTCTTGCTTCGACATACTCTATCGACGATCAAAAAGGGAAGGTGCAAGAGGAAGACATAGACAAGGCTCTTCTCAATCTTTTCTCAGTTCAACTCCGCCTTGGGCTGTTTGATGGAGATCCCAGAAATGGGCAATTTGGTAGTTTGGGACCTAAGGACGTCTGTACATCAGAGCACAAGACTTTGGCACTTGAGGCGACAAGGCAGGGAATTGTGCTTCTTAAAAATGATAAGAAGTTTTTGCCTTTAGAAAAAGGTGTTGATTTCTCCTTGGCTGTTATTGGTCCATTGGCAAACAATGCAAGTTTGATGGGTGGGGGTTACACAGGTATGATTTGCTACATGAATTACTAGTGTGCAATATCACATAAAGCTTCTCGGATTATTAATAGATCTTCAGTTATTGAAGATTCCTCAGGCTTTGATACCTGGTAGAGTCATCATAGGTAGAAATGATATGTACTTGTGGACTATTGTTGGCAATTTGATCATGAAAATTGGGTATCTATGAGCCAACAACGTTCTTTACTCAATCTTGAATGTCGTCCACTTTGAAAAGAATAACATTTCTACTCTGGCTTCCAAATCTTTTTTCCTTTTTTCAAGTTTTCCTGACGTTTCACATTAAACTAAAGGGTTTGCTTTGGTTGTATAGGGATTCCCTGCAGCTCAAAGGGTCTCTTTGAGGGTCTTCAAGAGTACACCAAAAGAGCATCGTATGCAGCTGGTTGCCTTGATGTACCATGTAAGTCTCGTGCTGGGTTCCGAGAAGCAATTCATACTGTCAAGATGGCTGATTTTGTTGTTATAGTTGTTGGTCTTGATTTGACGCAAGAAAGAGAAGATCATGACCGAGTTAGTCTTCTCTTACCCGGGAAACAAATGGCCCTTGTATCTTCTGTGGCAGCTGCAAGTAAAGAACCAGTGATTCTAGTTCTTACTGGTTGTGGACCACTTGATGTAACATTTGCCAAAGAAGACCCGCGAATCGCAAGTATTCTTTGGATTGGGTACCCTGGGGAATCTGGCGGGAGAGCACTAGCAGAAGTCCTCTTTGGAGATTTCAATCCGGGTAGGTTATTGGAAAACATGAGTTTCCTATTATGGAGTTTATGTTTTGCATGAAATGAAATCACCTCTATTTATTGTACTACTCTAGGATGGAGTCACTTCCTGAAATATAATCATAAAGATGAAATTTAAACATGACATGGAAAGAGGGCCTCATCACAAATGCTGTGAGTTCTGTTTTGTGCAAATGCTCATCAGATTATTTTATTTCTGCTAGGCATCCAAACACATACACTTCAATTTTCGAAGGCAAAATTTAACATGATTGCTTGATATGATTATAAATAGGTGGAAGGCTACCTATGACTTGGTATCCTGAGTCATTCACCAATATACCGATGAATGATATGAACATGAGGGCCGATCCTTCTCAAGGTTATCCGGGAAGAACCTACCGATTTTACACAGGGAGCAGGCTGTATGGATTTGGAGATGGCTTAAGCTACAGTAAGTTCACTTACAACATCGTATCAGCGCCAAAAAAGTTAAGGTTATCAAGACCTCTCAAGGTTGATTCCAGCAGAAACATACTACACCAAGCAGGAGATACACTTGATTATTTACACATTGATGAGGTGACATCTTGTGATTCCTTGAGATTTTTTGTTGAAATCACTGTGACGAATATAGGAGACATGGATGGAGGCCATACTGTGATGTTGTTCTCCAGAATGACAAAAGTTGTCAAGGGTGCTCCAAAACAACAGCTGATTGGATTTAACCGTGTGCATACTGGTTCGTACAAATCTACTGCAACAAGCATTCTAGTTGATCCTTGCACACATTTTAGCTTTGCAAATGATTATGGGGAATGGATATTGCCACTGGGTGATCATAAGTTAATGGTAGGAGATATAGAACACATTGTCTCAATTGAAATCAATTGATGCTATTTATGTCAAACAGGTGACACGATTGTTGAAGCACATGTATCATTCATTTTGTTTTACAGAAATTAAAGCTTTCTGAACATAGCGATCTCTGATACTGCTAAATATCCATAAAATACAGTCAGTAGCTAAATGCATATTTTGAATTTAGAAAGAATTTTCTGCTAATGTGAATTTTCTACAAATTTTCTAGATAAGATTCAGATATGAAATTGAACTTTTCTCCATGGCTGTGTGACAGATGCTTTGTCACTGGGCTATAAGCATTTTATTTTTTTTATATTATTTGATGATTCAAAAGCCATTAATAAGAATTGAGATGGAAATTCTTAAATGAAAATGAAGACCCCTCAACTAATTGAGTTGGTAGAATGATGCAATTTGGAGGATATAAGGTCATAAAATAAAGGGTTGCCTCACAAGAAGCCTGTGGATTAGTTAGTTAGTTTAGTAAGTATTGCTTTGGGATGAAGGCTGCAGCAAGTACCCCAATTACTAAATTAATAATCATTTCGAAAAATATGTCTTTGCTCACCTATTAGAAAAGAAAATGCTTACAAATTGTTCAACTTGGCTATTCAATTTCAAAGTTTGAATTGCCAGAGCACAAACTTAACCTAGTAACCTACAAAACTTAACAAAGTGAATTTTCCCGAAGGATAAATTTTTATAGGTGATGACGATAACACCACGTGACATGCCGATAATAATGCTACACTTACCACATTTATATCCCACATTTTCATACCACCTTATGTGGCAGATGAAGTGGACAATCACATCAATTAAAAAGTGTTAATAAATCATAAAAGATAAGAAAACTTTAAATTAATTTGAATTGATGTATTGTCCACCTCATCTGCCACATAAGGTGGTATGAGAATGTGGTATACAAATGTGGTAAGAGTAGCATTATTCTATAATATAACATGCGATTAACGACATGCAGATATATATTGATGTATTAAAATATAATATTAATAACGATTTTTATCACAAATGGTCCCTAAGGTTTGCAAAATTATCACATTTGGTCCTTTAAGTTTTTTTTTCTTATGACATTATTGATCCTTTATGTTACACCTCATACATCAATTTGGTCCATACCGTGAGATTATGTTAAATGTTTTGTTAAATTGCTGACTTGGTATGTATGACATATGTGATGCCCACATATCTAATGGAATATTGCCACATGGATCTATTTAATTTAAATAAAAAAAAAAAAAAAAAAAAAAAAAAAAAAAAAAATTAAAATTTAAATTTATTTAAATCTAAAAAAATAAAATTAAATAAATAAATAAAAACTGCTTCTCCCACTCCTTCCCCTTCCCCCTCCCTCCCCTTTTCATTCTTCCCCTTCCGTCTCCACCACTTTCCTCTGATCTCTCTCTCAACCCCACCCACCACAGACCTCCCCATCCACCCACCCCCCTCCCTGATTCAACCCCACTGCCCCGACTCAAACCCACAAAATGGCCCACCCCCTCTTTCTTAGCACCGCCGCTGCCACTAGAAAGATTGCCTGTTTAAATTGAATGGTTTCGAACTCCACAAATCGACTGCTTCATCTTTTTCTTTATGGTTTTTGAATGTTCTGAGGGAGGGAGTAAGGAAAAGGAGTAGAGGGAGCCATCGATGTTGATGGGGGTAAGGGGAGAGTACGGTGGCGGTGTGGGTTGCGGGGGTTTGTGGTGAGGTGGGAACTCTATGTGTGGATCTCGGGGATTGGGGGAAGAGAGAGACATAAGAAAGAGAGAAGCAGCAAAGGTGGTGGTTGAGCGTTGTGGAATGGGTCTCATTGACAGCGAAGGTGGTGGGTGGTGGGTGGTGGGTGGTGGGTGGTGGTGAATGGTGATGGAGATGTTTCTGGGTTAGCTTTTTCGGTGGAGCCGTGTACTGGTTTAGCTTGAGAGAGAGGAGAGAGAATTTTTAAAAATTAATAGTTTTTATTTAATGTTAAAAGCTTTATTAATATTTTAAGCTATTTTTCAGTTTCTAAAAAAATTTAAAAAAAAAAAAAAAAAAAAAAAAAAAAAATTAGTTTTTATTAACATAAATACATCATGTGGAATGGATGGAGAGATAGAACCTATTCCTCTCAAAAGCAATCTCTTTTAAATTTCAATACGCGTGACCGAAAGCAGAATAGCAAACCACGTAGGCACTTTGACAACCATAAACAAGTAAACTACTGAGAGTGTGACATATGTCAAAATAACCTTAACAAAGAAGCAGGATTTTTCTAGGGGAATAAACGATTCATTCCAATTGGGTGATTTCATATCATATATTCCTTTAAATTCAGATTAAAATATTTCGTTCACATTCTTCACCTCATCAAATCAAATAAAGCCTGCCCTATAATATAGCATATCAGAATATGTCGTATAAAGGCCTTGGGGTATTTTCACATATGGACTACTTCTGGAGGAATTGTTAAAGTTGATAGCTTGATGTACATTATTCTCTCATTTTCTAACATTTAAAAAAAAAAATGGATTCAGTTGTTGTTTTGCATTGTATTACAGTTTTGATTTCATAACGGTACAAAAGAAATGAAACTTTTTTGTTTTTTTATACAAGCGATAGTGAGTAACGGTATATATATTTTGTTAAAACAAAGTTTAGGGGGAGATTGACTACTCTTACCACCAGCGTTAGGGTCAGACCCATAATCTCGAGTAGGAAGAACTTACGCGCGGTAGCCAACTGCCAGCTGCCACTAGTATGGATTTATCTAGATAATTACAGATAGCACACCAATGAAAACTGCTGGCAGCGGGACTCGAAAACTGGTGGAGTTACACACAGTGCAGATGCCTTACCAACTGAACAAACTCTCGTTAACAGGGACTTGAACATATTTGGATATGCTTTTTCATACTCTAAAACTTCATCTATGATGAAGTGATTAAGAGTAGTATCCTGTATTTATCATCTTGAGGTTTCAAAATGGTAATTAATAGATGGTAAATTGGTTTCTAGGCATGCCTTGCGAATTGAATGGTGAAATGAAAGGTTCGAGCAAAAATCTTATCCAATGAGAATTTTATCAAGGTTGATTTCCACAATTGCCGCCCCAAGGCCCACTATACTTGGGGCAGGATCACTTTCATTATTTTTCTTCCTCCAGATATATTTTCCCTTTAAAAAGAATTTGCAAGAAAAATGGATATCTTTTGATTTGGGCACTCCACTGTGTTCTTGATGGCCATATATAATTGATGAGAATTGACACGTCAACAGTTGAATATCTAGGTGTCTTCTGACAGGCCTTCGCGAGTCCACGTGAGACATGTTCTTGTTGTTATCTACACCATACGGCAACAAAGAAGAAACTACCCAGCTTGAGAGGAATTGAATTTCGTTGCACTGTAACAAAGAAGGAAAAAAAGACGTGGAGTGGACGAGTGGTTTGCCTTCTCTTTATCACCCAGCTGGCCTGGATTTGAATTCAAAACTTTCCCCCCTCTCTTTAGAATAGAATATCGTTGTAACTCAAAATTTTTTTAAAAAAAATAATAACTTCTAAGTATAAATTAGTTTAAGAATATAATTAAGTATAAACAGTAATAATAAGGGACTTGTAGTTTAAATAGTTACGAATATTTACATATGCAACCAAGGTTCTAAATTCTAGATCCTATGTAACGGAGCCACTAAGCCCATGCACCCCAATATATTTGTGGCTCTTCGCCAAGTGTCGGAACATGTAATGAATCACAACTAAGGGCTCCTTTGATAATCATTTTAATTTTAGTTTTTATTTTCATTTTTTGTGCTACAATATAGAGAAAAAAGAGGGAAAATGTGAGAATGAGAGTGGAGATGAGATTGAGAGGGAAGATGAGAAAGGAGGATGGGAGGGAGGAGTACTAAAGTGAAAATCAAAACTAAAAACTGAAATTTATTTGAAATTGTTTTCCCTTTCAAGTTTTTGTTTTCACTTTTATTAGTCATTCCTCCTATCCTCCTCTCATCATCATCACTTTCATTCTCACTCTCATTTTCCTCTATACTCTAAACTCTCTAACACAAAATATAATAACTAAAAACTAAAATTAAAATAGTTATCAAACGGGCCTAAATTATTTACATCCCTAGTCCTTCTTTAAATTGGTTTCTAGTTTTATTTTCTTCAACAAGAAAAAAATAAAAAAGCTTTATACCTCAGTTAAATTAGTGTTACTAGTTTCTTTGTACACACTCATCAAACATGACATGAGAGCTCACCAGTGAATTTTTTTCAAATATAGATACTAAGAACTTTTCATCTATTCTGGTGACTTATTTGACATGAGTTCAATCAAAATTACTCATTTTATACAATTTTGATAAAAAAAAGTAAGACAAAGTTCCCCGTATATAGCTAAAGGAAAATACTTCCATATGAACTCCTATATTTTTGTTAATAACAATATGATATGTATGTATAAATTTTTTATTATATATTTTTGATGAATTATTTTTACACGTGTCAAATCGTGATTTGCAAAGAGGTGTATTGCCAGTGTTGATAACTTAAAAAAAAGAAAAAAAAAGGAGAAAAGCGGGGTGCCCGAATCAAATCCTGTGGGTTGTAAAGAACAGAAAGGAGAGGTGAGGCAGGAATGTTAAGTGGGTGGAAAAGAAAGTAAAGTGCATCAAAAGTGATGATGCATGCAATTTTATGAATATAGGTGTTCATATTTAATTGGTTTGAAACCAGAACCTTCTAATTATCAGTATAAAAACCAGAACCTTCCCCCTTTGCTCTTCCTCATAAATCTCTCTGTTTTCCATCCCCTCAAATCAGTCCTTCGTTTCAGTCCAAAAACTTGTCCCCGTTTCATTAGCAGAGATGAACGACCCAAAGTATGGTTATCCCTACCCTGCTCAAGGTCAAGGAGGTATTATTTATCTCTAATTAAGATTAATTAACTTATAGCTATGTGTGGTATTTTTCTCTGGGTTTTTCTTGTTCTTAATTTGTAGCTGATCATCATCAGTAAAGTATATGAGTTTGAGAACATGGATTAATTATCTGATTAATAAATTATTTTAGTTTGAAGATTTTAAGCTTCTGTATATAATATATGTTACTGTGTGCTCATAGGATTCTTGGTTGAGAACTCAAAGTCGTCTCACCAATAAACCAAGTCCCTTTTCATTATTACTTTTCCCTGTTTTGGATGATGAGAAGAAGAAGTGCCTATTACTTAACCTTTTTTTTATAATAAAAAATATATATTTATTGGTTTATTTTGTAATTTAATTTTAAATTATTTGTTGGCCAATCTTGTAGGTTATTACCAAGGCCCGCCAGTAATGGCACCTCCACAGTATGCTGCTCCACCACCCAGGAGAGAACCAGGCTTCCTTGAGGGATGGTAAACTTCCTCATCCATCTCTATACATCTGCCATCTCTGTCATTTTTACAGTTAGAAAATTAATTTTGAAAGTTTGGATTTGTTGACAGTCTTGCTGCTCTGTGTTGCTGCTGCCTTATTGACGAGTGTTGCTGCGATCCCTCCGTCCTCTTTTTCTTTTAGAATATATAATGTATCCTTGAATAATTCCACTCCTATTGTAATGTTTGAAGGTGATCTTGTTCGATCATTTTAATTTATTTAGGGTTTAGGGTTTATTTATGTACAAGACTTCTAGTTGTTCCTATTCTGCGCTGTATGTGGCATCATCTCTCACTCACGCTTATCCAAAATACCTATCTTCTTCAGAGTCAAAATTCCAATTCAGCCAGAAGGAAATAAAAATTTAATTTTATATTCAGTATATTTATCCATGCATGTGGCATATTTCGTCCCTTATACGACACGTTATACCGACAAACCTTATAATTCCTTGCAAGATTTCTGAACTTTCTGGAGTTAATACCCAGCAATTGATATTCCTTCATTGGTGCATAACTGGAGAAGGTAGATGGAAAAATTCAAAACCAAACTTTGGGCTAGAGTTTGGAAATTGGAATGATGCAGGTGATGACGACAGTTCAGTCCCCACATTTTGAATTTTGAATCAAAAGCTGAGGAGGAGATGGGGCTTGTCCCGTTGTCCTCCAAGATCTTCAAAACTGTGGGGCATGAAAAGAAGAAAGGGTTGCTTTTGGAAAGAAATAAGAGTCAAAACAAATTGATCGTTTTTTTAACGTCAATTTAAAACTCTTTCAAACATCTGAGGTGCTACTTCCTCCTTCCCTAATATCGCTTGAATAAAAAATAAATAATAATTTTTAAATAATAATTTATTTATAATATAGCTTGTTCGTTAGTGAGGTATATAACTTAGTTAGGAATTACAGAAATTCCCGTCAGATCCTCGACTCTAATAGGGGAGATTTCAGAGCAAAAGGAGGATCATGTATGGGGATCTCCGAATTTTAAAATTCCCTATTGGGTATGGGTCGGGGATGGTATTGGCATCCCCATCTTCGAACCCAGTCTGATAAATATATACTTATAATATAATATACTGTTACCCTAGCCCAATTCCTCATTCCTCCTAGCGCCGCAACCTCTTTGTTGGTCCTATTCATGTGACTATCAGAGAGTTGAGGGCCCTGAGCTCAATGGAAGCATACCTATGGAAATTGGTGGGGCTTTTTCGTTGAAGGAGTTGGGATTCACACACGAATCCAAATTCCATTAAAACATTTTGGATACTAGTTATTGAGAACTAATTTGCACAGAAAACTTGGATCCATGTTTTGTTTTCTGGATTTATCTTTGATGTGTGGATTTGAAACCACACAATCCTATGTCCTTAAGTTACGGTTCCATATATACTAAATGTTTCAGGACTTGATGGAGCAAATATAACTCGACCATATTGTAGATTGCTGGTCAACGAGAATAGGGAAAGATGGACCCATAGTATATAAGGAGACAACATGTTGATTCAGGGATTTGAGGCAAGTTTGGGGTATAGCTCCCTGATGGGGACGAGGAAGGGGACTCCCCGAAAATACTTATAGGGTACAGGGTCGGGGATTGGAAGAGGGAAGGGGATGGGATTGCCATACCCAGCCCTACCCGGTCCGTTGCTATCCCTAAGCTTAGTTGGTTGAGTTCTTCCGCTTCCACTTTTGTGGGTAGAAATTCAAAAACCCTAGACACCTAATAAATATTTGTGTAAATACCATCTCCTAATTGCTTGTATTAATAAAATAAAATAAAATAAAAAAACTTGTTTAGAATTGATTTTCATATGTAAGGCCATCTCCAACCCAAGGGGCAGAAACTCAAATTTTGAGTTTTGAACCCAAAATTCATCTCCAACCCATGTATTTTAGGGGGTGGAAATTTAAGATGGGTGGAATTTGGGGCGGAATTCCAATCTAAGTTTTGCCTAGACTGGTAATTTGTGTGGAGCTCAAATCCTTGTTTGGCAGCCCATGTGAAGAGCAAAAAGAGGTGGGCCTAGCGTGGCAACAAAGTTGTCTCCCTTGCATTCTTATTGGGCGACAAGTGGCAACTTATGGACAAAGAGCCGTTGCAATCAAATGGCCCAATTTGAAAGCTGAGTTGTTTTTTTTTCATGCAAACTTGTTTTTATTTTGAAGTCAAATTCTATTATGTTTTGAAATTTTAATTTTTTAAGTTAAAATGTTTAGAAAATTAAATCACGAATGTTGAAACAAAAATGATGTTAAGAAAAACTAAAAAAATAAGGGTTAATCATTCTCGAGCAGTTTAATACAGTTGCAGACTCAAATTATGACTTTGCAAGGTTGGAGAAAAATAAAATTTGAGTCCGAAAAGTACATGAATAGTTATATTTTAGAGGATAGAAATTTGAGTTTAGCCCCAACATGATTGGAGATGGTCTAAGGATTTGAGTTTTTTTTCTTTTCTTTGGTTGGGTCGGAAAGGATTGAGTCTTTATAACAGCCTTCTGCTTGTTAAACCCTTATTGAACTCAATTTCTTCGGTACACAATGAGGCCAGAGGCCCAATAAAACAACTAAACAACTAACCCAGGCGTAGCCTTGTTAGGTTTGTCATTAGTTGGGGAAGGGATTTGTCATCTCTTGAGGGCACGTCCCTTGTAAACCGCTGTATCGCATAATTTTGGGGCATGTCCCGTGCCAAAGTATACATGTCCCATGTCCCATCCCCATATTCACATCTCACCATTAGAGAGAAAACTCAATTTATATTTCTCGGAGATATAAACAAGATGTAAAAATGATTTTACTTTCAGTGAGGAGATGCTCTTACTCTAACATAGTGGAAGTATGTACTTACTCATATTGGGTTAATTTTATTTCAAGCCTCCACTTATGTGTACATAGTACTACCATATATAATCAACATTTATTTATCAAGAAAGCAATAAAATAGTGCTGACCAACTTAATTATCCTAAAAAAAAAAAAAAAAAAAAAAAAAAACTTTATAATTATATTACCTTGAAAGTCTTGTTCAAATTTATTCAATGGAGCAAAAATAAAGCTTGTAATAATTGCTAATGTATATTTAAAAGAGGCACATGTAAAGAGCTTGTAATTCGAGTGGTTAAGAGCATTTACCTTTGCACCTGAGATTCCTATGTTCGATTCCTTTTTTTTTTTTTTGGCCAATTCGATTTCCCTATTATCACTTGTATTTTTTGGAATTTTCCCCTTCAAACTAATTTTTTTTCTTACCTGCAACCCATAACCTTATATTTTTATAAATAAAACATGATTTTTATAAGTAAATCCTTAGGATGGAACTCATTAAGTTACTAATCAAACTTAAAATATGATTTATTATACTTTTCAAATTCCAAACGTACCCCTAATTACATTTTAGGCTTAAATACAAAAATGGTCCATTTGTTTTACCACGTTGGCCAATTTAGTCCATGTGTTTTCAATTTGAGCAATTCGGTCCTTGTGTTTAGTACAATTAGCCAATATTGTCCATTCCGTTAAATTTTTGTTAAAAAAATTTAAAAAAATTTAAAATATTAATTTAAAAAAACATAACTATTTGAATACAATTTAAAGTTAAACAAATAAGAGGAAAACTTAAAAAAACTAAAAAAAATAAAAAAAAGAAAGACCTCAACTCTAATCCCAACAACCACCACCACCTTCAATCCCACCCACCAGCCACCATCTCCAAACCCACCCACCATTCACCACCCTTCTCTCTTCTCTCTTTCTCCCAATAACAACCCACCACCCCAACTCCGATCCACCTCACTATCTCTCTCTCAAGAACAATCTTTACTTTCATGTTTTTGAATGTTTCAGTACGTAGTACCCTATGGGGTTTTCCTTGTATTAGTTTCTGGTTTCGTTTGTTTATCTTGCCCCTGTGCTCATCACTCTCCTTCCCACCTCTCCACTCGCTGGGCAAACCCTCCCCTCCCCGACAACATATATATACATATATAATTCAATATTTTTAGATTAATTTAAAAAAGTTGTATAGGTTTTTAAAAGACACAAAGATGTTTATTATGTATATTTAACAACAAATTTAACGGAATGGATAACATTGACTAACGGTCCTAAACACTGGGACCGAATTGAACAAATTGAAAACAAAGGGACTTAATTGGCCAACATGGTAAAACACATGGTATATTATAATATGAGGTAAATTAAGTAATCTTTAAGAAATTGCCATTATTAGATGTCGTTTTAATAGTATTTTAATTTCAAATATAGGTTTTTAAATTGGCATAAATTTAGAGATTTGTTAAGCAAATTGTTTCCCTTTTTTTTTTTGTTAGGGCAGTTTCCGTTGGGATTTTAATACCCCTTCTTGGCTTTGTGTCGTTTGGCTAAGTAGACTCTACTTTTATCTATTAAGAAAATTCCTATGTTTTGGCGAAAAAGGTTCATTTCTTCCTTTTTTGTATTGTCAAATTTAAAATAGGAAAAAGTCATTTGCTTAAATGATTTTTTAAAATTTGAGAATAATAGTGTCCATATTTTATATTTATTTATTTTCTTTTTAACAATGATAATATACTTATTAAATTTTTATTGTACCTATAAAATTTTATCAATAATAATCTACCTATTATCTTTTATGAATTATAATTTACCTATTATTGTGAGTTAATAAAAATAGTATCTATACTATTCAAAATATTATGTACATGTCTTTAATTTATAACAAGTGTACATAATTTTTTTCAAAGTAACGCGTATGTTAGATATATAGAAATAATGTACATTGGGTAAAAAAAGAAAAAGAAAAAAAATGTAACTATGTTTTAAATCAAATGATTTAAGGATATTTTTTGGTCAAATTTGTAGGGATTTTTTTGGTCGAAATTCGAGGGTTTTTGTTTTGTCGAAATTTTAGGGATTAGAGGAACATCAAACAAAAAAATTGGAGTCATTAATGTGCTAAAAATCAGGGAGTTAATGACATGCTTTAAAATAAATTAAATACAAAACATGAAGGTAGATTGCATATATTGTAATTTAGTTAATAATAATAAGGCATACCTATCTTACAAGTTTGGGTTTTAGTTAGATATTTAAAATTACGTGAGTTAAAGTTGCAAGGACATCTAGTGAAGAACCCAAG